GTACTCAGTAATCCTGTGTAATCCTGGGTGCTGTGCCGGTGTGTCCCCAGAGCATGACCGTGGTGTCCAGCTCCCTGTCCGGACCCAACCAGGGCCTGCAGCTCTACGACCTGAGCATCGACATCTACAGCCGCTTCATCTACTGGACCAGCGAGGTGACCAATGTGATCAACGTGACCCGGACCGACGGCAGCCGGGTCGGCGTGGTCCTGAGGGGCGAGCACGACAAACCCAGAGCCATCGTGGTGAATCCGGAGAGAGGGTGAGTGGGCTCATGGGGTCGGAGGAGAAGGCCTGAGCAGAGCTCAGTGGAGCAGCTGAGTGAGGGAGCGATCATCGTTCACCTCCAGCTGTGTTCAGTCAGTCAACAGAACCAATGTCGGACCCGTGTTGGTGACCAATCTGCTGTTGTTCTGTCACAGGATCATTAAAAGTCCTTCACAGGTCCCAAGGTGACGTCTGCACAGAGACTGAACCCGTCTGGACTCTGTGGCTGCAGCTTCTTCAGTCTGATGAGGTTCTGGTTTCTCTCCTCCTGTGACAGTAAACTGAACATCTCTGGACCAAACAGGACATTCTTGGTAGACTCAGGACTCTGTGATCAGCTCATTGATCATCCTGACGTTTCAGAGACAAACGATAAAACCCGAGTGGACGAGTCACAGAACAGAGAAACCGAACTGGACCGAAGCTCGTCGCTGTTCTGGCTGTTAATCAACCAGCTGTTTGGGCTGAAACATCAGGAAATGGTGGAAGAAGTCTCGTTTGGACCAAAGATGTTCCGGTTACTGTCACAGAGGAGAGAAACCTCAGAACCGGTCCAGCTGGTGCACTGATCATCAGGATAACTGGTGATTAGTCCAACAGTTGACACATGATTGATCGGTCTTTGGGTTCTGGTGCTAAACAGCCACCGACCTGCTCGGTGGCGTTTCAGGAGTTTTGCCTGAACATCAGAACCTGACACCTGTTGAACATCAGAAACCTGCAGAACAAACTTCTCTTTATTGGACTTGTTCAGAGACAAAAGCTCTTCTGGTCTCTGGTTCTGTTGTTTGTTCTCCGGGCTGCTGAGGTTCTGCAGCTCGCTGGTACTGGCCCGCTTGTTTGGAGCCATAATTGCAGGGTTTGCTTCGTGCAGAACTCTGTGTGCGGTTAACAAATGAAGTCTGCAGATGTCCCGGTTCCCTCCGAGGGGAACCAGAACCAGACGGCCTCTGACTGCGCTGTGTCCTGCAGGTACATGTACTTCACCAACCTGCTGGAGCGCTCGCCCAAGATCGAGCGGGCGGCGCTGGACGGGACGGAGCGGGAGGTTCTGTTCTTCAGCGGTCTGGGGAAACCTGTGGCTCTGGCCATCGACAACGAGGTGGGGAAGCTGTTCTGGGTCGACTCGGACCTGCGGCGCATCGAGAGCAGCGACCTCTCCGGTGAGTCCGGCGGCTTTGGGCTGTGTGCTCGGTCCGCAAAAGGTTCTGTTTGGTTCTACTGAAACTTCTGCAGTTTAACTCAAGTTCAGAAGGAAATGACTCGGTAGAACCGACCCGCTGCCGGGTCGGACGGGAGTTTACCTCGACGTTTACCCCAGTCCACTAAAACAACAACAACAGCTGTGAGTCTCAGTTACTGACTGCTGAGGAAGTTCAGGCTCCAGAACAACGTTTCATCCAAACCGTAAACGACGTCCTGCAGTCCATCATCTGACCTTCAGTAACCAGACCGCCGCTGGGTTGTTGCTGAGGAGCAGAAGCAGGACTTGTTGAGCGTTCCTCTCTCAGAAGAACTCAGCTGTTCTCCTGTTGGCTCGTCGTAAACGTCTCCTTGAGAAACTCTCGGTTCTACGTTCTAAAGGCTGAAGTGCCTCCTGGAGCCCTGAAGGCTTCGTGTTCTGACGTATTTAAGTTGTTTATTTCAGAACCAAAACAGGGAAAATCTGGTTCTGTTTGTCAGAATCAGAACATGAGAAACCAGCGAAACGTGTTTTATGTTGGAACCAAAAACAGAAGTCAGAAGAAATCCAATCACACGCTCCATTTGTTCCTCCAGAGTCTGAACGGCTGTTTATCTGCTGCCACTGCGTCTATATGGCTGGTTCTGGTTCTGCTGCCTGGCCCAAAGGAGACATGAAAGAAGGAATCTGTTCTTTAAAGTGATGTAAATCTGAAACCCTGCGTGTCTTCTGCTTCTGGTGTCCTTAGAAACAACCCGTTGTGTTTAGTTAGTTGGTCGGTTTTGAGCAGAAGTTCTAGACTCTGATGGAGTAACGGCAGGTTGTTCAAACCCGTCGGCTGAGCGTGGCCGTGGTGACGGAGGTAGAGTCCGGTGAGGTTCTGGGAGCCTCTCGTTCAGCACATTCCTGTGATTCTCCGGCTGGAATGTAAACCGTGAACAGCAGCTTCTCGTCGTGTTTCTGCTGCAGGAGGCGGCTCAGACCTCCGACGTGTTCCCAAATATTTGTTCTGTCATTTCAGTCGGTTCCAAACAGACCGGGTCGGCTGCTGAAGGAGGCGCCGTGGTCAAAAGGTGGCGCTGTAGGCCACATAACACACGACTGATGAACAGAGCAGCAGAGGCTCAAAACTAAACCAGCTGTTTGCTCACCACCAGAAACAACCTGGACTCAGTGGTTGTTTGTTCTGGTTGGTCCGTCTTCTGGTGTTATGGTGCCTCAGAACGATGAACGGAACCGTCCTGGAGGGTTCCACCCTCACAGGAAGCTGATTACTGGGACAGATAATGGGACTGTCACTGACACAACCATGAACGTGTGTTGTTCACGTTTGTGTTTAGTTTTAATCGTGTTCTTCGGTTCTGGTAGGGTCCTTTAGTTCTGGTTGCTTTACGTCCGATCCATCACACGTGGTCGCTTTGGCGTCACAGTTTGGTTGTTTTCTGTCTGTTAGTGGTCGTGTTCTGGTCAGAGCCCATCAGCTGAGCTTTACCTTCCTGTTTGTGGACATCCACAGAGTGTCGCCTGCCGGTCAGCGCCACAGGGTCCGTTTAGGACCACGTTCTGAGGGCGTCCACGCTGTTTCCCAGTGTAAACACAGGTCCCGTATGTGATGTAAAGAACATGTTTAGTCGCAGGCAGTGACGTTTGTGAACCTAAAACCCGGTTAAACGGAGGATTCACAGACCTGCACTGTGGTCGGAGGTTTTCCAAGGAATCGCCGTTAATGCTGTAAATCTGCGTTTTCTATGGATGACAGGACGCATCGTAGACGGATACCTTCGTTGTGTGCGATGCCCTGCTAGGTGTGGACGAGACCTGATCCAGGGATGGACGTCCCACAGACCTGCTGTTACCTGCTCAGGTGCTCTTATTGATCACTCAGTCAGAGCCTGAAGGAGGTGCTGATCAAAGAGACGCCAGCGTCTAACATTTACCATCTGAACGTAAAGACATATTCAGAATCTGGACCTAACTTAACTCGGATGCGTCTGAAACTTGGTGAAACTACAGAGTTAAAAACGTAACCAGAGACGATGGAAGCAGCCAGAGGTCACAAACACTCAGAAAGCTTCATGTTCAGGAACCGAACCTGTTAGAAAGGAGCTTCAGCAGGTTTGTTCAGTAGATCTCCTCAGACTGATCTGTGGCGCCTCCTTCTGGACGTTTAGACGAACAGCTGCAGTCCTGACAGAAGAAAGAACCGAACAGAACGAAGCTCAGATCGATGTTGTGACTGAAACTAAGGCTTTAAATCAACTAACAACTGGTTCAGTTTGGATGTTTGCTGATTGGTTTGAATTTATCCTGAACTTAAAGGTTTCTACTGAGCTGAGGCTCTAAAGACAGACAGCCATCAATAAATCTGACCCAACGCGATGTCACAAACCTTTAAAAACACATCTGAATTTTCATTTAGCTCTTTTTTTTTTTTTTTTTTAACTTGTGGTTCAAAAATGCAAAACAGACGTTAGCTTTGTTATGTATGATTAGAAACATTCCCTTTTTCCTGATTCTGATTTTAACCCTGAAATTGTGAATAATTCAGATGAAATTTATTCTGTTTACTGAATAAAAACATCAAGCTTAGTTAAGTCAGGCTTAAATCTCAGAAGTCAGTTTTGCAGATGGTTGAAGTCGCTCATTAAAGAAGCAGCTGTGTGACGTAAATCCCAGATGTCAGACTAATAATCCAGATGTTTTCATTCTATCAGGCATTTACAGTAAAGCTCTCTCTGTTACTCAGATTCTAACTTAAAGCTCAAAGAACACAAATCCAGACTTTGTTAATTCTGACTTAAATCTCAAACTTCAGACTAAAACTTGTAACTTGTTGTGATTCTGTTGAGCATTTAAATAATGACAAAAGTCTGACTTTGTTTCTCAAATTCTATCTTAAAACTAAATCCAGACGTGTTGTTGAGGTGACCCGAACCGGTACCGATCGTTCTTCAGTCGATCAAACGTACAGAACCGAACTTCAGTGAATGAGAGAAACGATGTCTGTGAATGTCAAGTTAGGAGGTACTGATGGACTGAATAGAGTTGATCCTGGTGACAGAAGGTCCTGTAGAACCCAGTCCCAGGTCTTTGCTGTGAAGGTGTTCTGGTGGTGTTCTGGTCTGACCCGGCTGTCCCTGTCCTTCCTCCCGCCTCCCTCAGTTTCCCTCCCGTTCTGTTGCTTCCGGTCCTGAAGTTTTCTGCCCTACAACCTTGTTTTGTTTGTTTCCTTCCCTGGCGCTTTTATTCTGAACCGACCTCAGGAGCCAACCGGATCGTGATCGCCGACTCCAACATCCTGCAGCCGGTGGGCCTCACGGTGTTCGGGAACCACCTGTACTGGATCGACAAGCAGCAGCAGATGATCGAGCGCATCGACAAGACCACGAGGGAGGGCCGCACCAAGATCCAGGCCCGCATCGCCTACCTGAGCGACATCCACGCCGTGCATGAGCTCGACATGCGGGAGTACAGTGAGTCTGATGTGCCGGTTCTGACCCGTTGTTCTGCTGCGAGAGAGAGTGTCCTGCTCACCTGAGCTCTGTGTTACAGGTAAACACCCCTGCACCTGGGACAACGGAGGCTGCTCCCACATCTGCATCGTGAAGGGAGACGGGACGACCCGCTGCTCGTGTCCGGTCCACCTGGTTCTGCTGCCAGATGAACTGTCCTGTGGAGGTAAAACACCCAGAACCAGAACCTGCATCCAGTCTCTCAGATTGAATCAGCATCCTGTGGAGTCAGTGAAGCTGCTTCATGACGTCAGGAGATGATGATGATGGGCTGTATTGATCATTGATTGGCTGTACTGATGGGCTGTATTGATGATTGATTGGCTGTACTGATGGGCTGTACTGACGGCTGCTGTGGTCCCTCAGAGCCGCCCACCTGCTCTCCGGAGCAGTTCTCCTGCACCTCCGGGGAGGTGGACTGCATCCCTCAGGCCTGGAGGTGTGACGGTTACCCCGAGTGCGACGACAGCAGCGACGAGGAGGACTGCCCCGTCTGCTCCGAGTCCGAGTTCCAGTGCGACAGCCGGCAGTGCATCGACCTGAACCTGCGCTGCAACGGAGAGATCAACTGCCAGGACCGGTCCGACGAGAACAAGTGTGAAGGTGAGGAGCGGCACTGGCCCGGTTACGGGGACCGGCCCCAGAGTTCCAGGTGCTAACCAGCTGCCGCCTGTGTTTCAGTTCGCTGTCCTGCCGACCAGTTCACCTGCACCAACGGCCAGTGCATCGGCAAGCACAAGAAGTGCGACCACAACATGGACTGTACCGACAACTCGGACGAGATCGGCTGCTGTGAGTGAACCCGACCCGTCTGGACCGGGTCTAGTCAGACGGACACGCAGATGTTTGTTAGTTGCTAACAGGACCAAACACGGGGACCTGGTGTGATTAGTGAATAATCTAATATTGAGCCTGTGTAACGGTGGTTCTGTTAAACTACCAGAACATTCAACAAACATCTCGTCAAAGCAAAGGTCCAGTTCAGACTTTATTTATTAAACCCACCACATCTGTAGAAATAATCAACGTGGACTTGTTATTTTTTTAGTTTTTAATAGAACGTTGACACTGGTTCAGAAAGCAGGGACCAGTATGGACCCACCACATCACCAGTGGTCATGAGCTGGTGTCACTGGGCCGTCTGTGGGCGTCATGACGAGTGTTTCTGTGAACGTTCAACGCCGTTTTATTTTCACGTCCCGCTAACCTTTTTCTGTCCTGTGGCTCCAGACCCGACCGAGGAGCCTCCGCCGCCGCCCAACAACACCATCAGCTCCATCGTGGGCGTGGTCATGGCGCTGTTCGTGGTCGGCGCCATCTACTTCGTGTGCCAGCGCGTCCTCTGTCCTCAGATGAAGGACGACGGCGAGACGGTGACCAACGACTTCGTGGTCCACGGCCCGTCGTCGGTGCCGCTCGGCTACGTCCCACATCCTAGCTCGCTGTCCAGCTCGCTGCCAGGTGAGACGTCACATGACCTGGAGGTTACGGCGGCGTTGTCCGTTGAAACACAGGAAGTGGTTTCAGCAGGTTCACGTTATCATTCATCAGTTAACCAACGACATCATAGCAAACCTCTTCTGAGCTACTGACCCACTAGAGTCCGATCTGTTGACCGGTTCTGATGTCTGGCTGGTAAGTCCTTCAGTCTTGTAGAGATTTGCTGGTCAGAGACCTCAGAAACAACCGTCAGATGACAGCGGGTTGATTGGATCAGCACCAGGCTGCAGAACCTTGTGATAAACGTCCTGATGTTTCCTGACCTGAGGAGAGGTTTCACTGAGTCTTTGCTAACCAGATTCATCTCACCTGTCCTCAGGTATGTCCAGAGGGAAGTCTGTGATTGGCTCTCTGAGCATCATGGGCGGCAGCAGCGGGCCTCCGTACGACCGGGCTCACGTCACCGGAGCTTCGTCCAGCAGCTCGTCCAGCACCAAAGGAACCTACTTCCCCCCGGTGAGGAACCGTCTGATGTTCTTGTTGCTGCTTCATGCCATCAGCGGTTTAACGGACTGACCAGAACCTGTCAGACCAACCTGTCTGCTTTCTGTCCTGCAGATCCTGAATCCTCCTCCGTCTCCGGCCACGGTCCGGTCTCAGTACACCATGGAGTTCGGCTACTCCTCCAACAGCCCGTCGACTCACAGGTCTTACAGGTAAACTGCTCATGAAACCAGCCGCCCTCATCGTGTCTGTAGAGGAATCCAGAGGTTCCTCAGAGCTGGTGGACCTTTGTAGTTCCTCACAGGACACCAGAAGAAGAAAACCTGCTTAAAGACAAATGATTGAGGCTTTCAGACCAAAAGCGACCTGATCTGTGATCCATGAAGGGATTTACAGCCTGAAACGAGTCCAGAGCCAGGAAACCAAATTCAGGAACTGTTTCTTCATAACTTTGTCTTCAGATGTTAAACCTGAAGCAGCAGCAGAGGAAGCTCCTCGACTCTGATTAAAACACTGACTTTCAGTAAATATCCTTCAACTTTACGGCTAAAACATTCAGAGCCTGATCCGTTGTTTTCAGGTTTTGATCATATAAAATATTCCCGATGAGTTCATGATCGATCAGTGATTGGTCCGTTTGAGCTGACGGCTCTGGTTGGAGGTCCTGAACCTCCTCAGAGTCTCTGTCATGGTCCTGCTGCTGCTAAACTCCCACAATGCTCTCTGCTGCTGAGCCTCTGGTCTCTAAACAGGGAGAGGCTCCACCTGGTGGAACAACCAGGTACTGCAGCTGCTCTAGGTTTCTATCATTAGCAGCTGACTGCGACCCTTTTACAGTAAACATTATGTGTCTGTGATGAACCAAAAGGAAACACGTCCACTGTTCTGCATTCGCTGTGTCGATTGATCGGTTATTGATCGATGGTGATCAGGTTCTGTTTGCGCCCCGAGTCGCCCGGTCAGTAACGTGGACTCGTTCCTTGTGCTTCCTCCCCAGCTACCGGCCGTACACCTACCGCCACTTCGCCCCGCCCACCACCCCCTGCAGCACCGACGTGTGCGACAGCGACTACACGCCGGGACGCCGGGCGCCGCTCAAGTCCAGCGCCGCCGCCGCCGCCGCCGCCAAGGGCTACACCAGCGACCTCAACTACGACTCGGAGCCTTTCCCGCCGCCGCCGACACCCCGCAGCCAGTACCTGTCGGCGGAGGAGAACTGTGAGAGCTGCCCGCCGTCGCCTTACACCGAGCGCAGCTACTCCCACCACCTGTACCCGCCGCCGCCGTCACCCTGCACAGACTCCTCGTGAGCCACGCCCCCTCCAAGCTCCGCCCCCTCACTGTAAATAGCAATTGTGCATATATGAGGTCAAAAATGGGAAAGAGAGACTGAAGACGAGGAGGACGAAAAGGGAAGCAGAGCCGGAGCTGCAGAACATTTGTACATTGAAAAGAGAAACATATTTATATATTTTCTATACAGTGTTTACTGATGACGCCATAGAGGTTTGTATTAAGAAATTTGTACATTTTTTAAGAAAAGGTTTTATTAAAATCATCACAAATATAAGTTGCCTTAAAGCAGGAGGAAGAGGCTGAAGGACAAGAAGCACACCAATCAGTGGGACGTTTAACTTATCTGATGCCAAATATGACAAACGTCGCAGCAGGAGGCTCCGCCCACAGCTGCACGCCGGCGGCCATCTTGTCTGTAGTTACCATGTAAACTGGATCAGGTGGTTCTGGGGCTTTGATTTGAATTTACCTCCTTCGTTCACCCGACGGTTCGCAGGACGCCGCCCGACAGGAAGTGAGTCAGAACACCTCGACTCGCTCTGCGCCGAAGCAATAAGGCACATATTGATCCGCCGATCGATTGATTGATCGATCGATCGGAGCAGGAGCTGATCTGAGGAGGTTCCACGAGCTGTGGTCCGCTAGATGGAAGTGTACGGAGGCCAGAGAGGACGCGAGCTGAACGCCGCCGTGTTCATGGAGCTCAACAAAGTCTGAGACGATCGACACAAACAACAACAAACTACACCAGAGAGATGCTAACTCAGCTGCACTACAGAGTCTATGTTACGCTACACGCTACACACTACATGCTACACGCTACATGCTACACGCTACATGCTACAGATGGTACACTAAGTTACTGACGACACACTACAGTCACTCTGCTAACGACACTCGGCGACTTGTCACTACAAACCTTCTGACTCCAGGTGCTTCTGCTGGTGTCCCTCCCGGGCCTCCGTACCGACACTGAAACACTAGAACTCTTCCTGTCAGAGCCGAGTCGGTCCGTCTGACTCACGTCCTCGGAGGTCGACGCCGATGTTCAGACGGACTGAAACCAAATCGTTCGCTTTGTTCGACATGTTGTGTTCTCATTGAAACTGACTGAAGCTGCGTCCTTCGGTTCTCGTCCTGTTTTTGTGTTTGGATCCGTGCGGTGGCGCCGAGGAGGCGGCGGCGGCGGCGTTCCACCAGAACACGATCTTGTGCCTGACCAGTTACTCAGCTTCATATCCTTTTTTATTTTTGTGTTACTTTGAGGAAACAACACAGAGGAATCAGTGCCCACTAAATGCTCTATAGTATTTTTGTACCACATATTGTGTAGATACGTATTTATAAGCTATATAGAAATCATTGTAAATCTATCCATTGAATTCTTGCAGTACTTTTCATTCCGTCTTTTTTTATATTGCCTCATTATATTTTTCTACAGAATATCACTCAAACGTACGGCGACAATCTCAGATCAGTCCAATCGTAGAACATATCCAGGTTAACGTCTCTTCTGGGAATCGGATGTTTGAAGGACTTTGGTGCCAAATGAATCTTTTTTTAAACGGCGTGGAGGCAGATGTCGGGACCAGAGTCTGTTCGTCCGTCGGTCTCTTCGTGTCTTTGTGCTTCTCGTGACGACCAGAAATCTATTTTTGAAGCGTTTCCTCGTCAGATGTTGGGTTTGCTGTTCGGCTGCTGAAGGTTCGAGAGAAAATTAACACCAGCATGAATCTGAAGACAATCTGAAGCTTCAACCGCTGAGTCGAGTCTGTCTGAGTTAAAACATCCGTGTCGTGTTTCTGACTCATTTTAACATTAAAGCTCAAAAGTCTTTTTCGTATTTATGTGTAATCACGTCCAGGACTCCAGTGAGATCGCCACCAGCGCTGCAGTTCTTCTCATTCTAACTCAATCCGTTTTAACAGGAAGTCAGTCTAGAATCGGAGGCTTTGTTCGATTCTCGCTTGACGTTTTCTGAGTTTAGGTACGGAAACCAAAGCCTGCCCGTATTTTACACTCTTTAAATCTGAAAATGTTTCTCTGCGAAGCCAAAAGAGATGAAATTAATTCTGAGATGTGACGGTTAAATGTCACCCTGTGAGTTGATTCTCAACTGTTACGTGATTCTGAAAACGTCCCTTTAAGACCCATCGGTTGCGTTTCACTTGTTTTCCGTAAATTAATATTCCTGCATTGAAGGAATCTCGAGAAACGATTGTTCAGGTTTCATCAGCAGAGTTCTGAAGATGTTTCTGGTGTCAGGTGCACACAGGTGATTGGTTTGGGCACAAGTTAGCACAGAAAGCTAACGTCGTTATTTTGGAAGCAGAATTTAATAACTTGGTGCACAAATGACACGTTTGGTTGTTTTGTTTTCCCTGTAGGATATTTTGTCACGTGTTTGTACAAATCATTAGCTTGTTTACCACAGGTATAGAATTTGGACTTTCTGAGCCGCCGCAGTTTTTGGTTTTGGACAAATAATCTCATGGTTCTGACTCGTTAACGTCCAAAACCTCCGCATCCTGTACAGAGGACCAGAAAGACTGTTTTATGTCTGTTGAACACAAACTAAGATTTGTAGTTAAATTCAGAGCTCTCTATTTTGAGGCCTTCAGTTTGTGCATCCATCACAGCGTCTCGTCGACCCGAACACAAACCACCAAAAACCAGCGAAGAAGCCAAAGTCCAGCTGAACCTGGACGTGTTTTTTGGCTCCCCGCTGCCTCCGTACGGCTCCCAGGTGTGCACACCTGAGGGCTACCTGTGGTACAATCACTCGCTGCACCTCCAGGTGTGTCTGCAGAGTCGCAGTGACCTTTGTGGGACAAGTTCTCGTTTCCTGACTGCACTTTACGGGACTTTCTGAGCAGATTTCGGTACAAAACGTCGCCGCCGAGCGAAACTGTGTGAAGTTGGACGTTTGAGCGTTTAGAAGAAAAGATGGCTGAAGCAGAATTCTAGAGTCTGGCTGGTGTCGGGAACCTTTTGGGTAAATAATTTCCTCTATTTGTCGAGAACTCTGAGTTCTGTATCCTGAAGTGTCCGTTTGAATAATCTGTAAATCCTCTGAGTTTGTTTCAGCTGAAAAACTCAACAAGTCGGTTGTTTTTTTTGTTTTTTTTTGTGAAACTGTTTTTGTGTAAAAATCTCGGATGTCGAACTCAAACAAAATGTGTTTCAGGCAAGAATCAAACTATTAAATGTAAAAAAACTGGAATTAAAAGGTGCAGGTGAATCATTCAGTGATGAGATTTACTGATGTGAAGAAGTTTTACTACAAAACTCAAACTAAAGAAGCCAAATTTGTCTAAAACACGAGTGCTGTCCTGATCGAACCTTGTTTTTAAAATTAATTGTAATTTTTTGTGCATTTTGTGTTTTTATTTGTTACCACAGAGACGTTGTGGGTCCGTCGGCCCTGACGTGTACGTGTGGATTTAAATCAGGAAAAGAACAAAAAGGGTTCAGTTGGTTTGATTCTGTTCGTCTGTGGGAATAATTTACCAGAACTCGACCCTTCAGGCTTCGCAGTCCGACGAGGAGAACCAGCGTCTCCCGGACAGATTGTGATGAACGTGGATGAAAAGGCTGCAGGAAGTTGAAATGTTTAAAAAAAAAAAACACGGTTGAAAAGGTCATTCTTTCAAATTAAAAGCACTTTTGTCTCCAGGTGTGTCGGAGGGTCGACAGAAAAGCAGTTTGTTGTTGATCTTCATCCGTTCTGATCTCATGGTGCTTCGTGGAGACGAACATTTGGTTCGTTTCGTTCGTTTGATTTCCACTAATTCTGTTTTGTACGACTGCTTTACCTGTAAACCATCGATGGACCTGTACAGCCCATCAGCTGCCACCATAAGCTGTTGTAACCCATTAATGCTGATTTTTTTCTTTTTGTTAAATATAAAGTGAGTGAACTTTTACCTCGAGTGTCCGTGTGATGATTTGCGTCTAAGAAGACAATCTGTGGAGGTAAAGACTGAAATACGTCAGAACACTACAGTTATACACAATATTCTGAGTAAAAACTTGTTCAACAGCCTTTTAGTTTGATTACAGTCGTATAAAACGTACAAACCATTCAGTCAAAATAACTAAAGTCTTTCTGGACTTTGGGGCTTCTGCAGGTGTTTCATAATAAAACTATAAATGCTCATGAAATTATTGAAATCTTACTGTTACTGTCTAAAACACGTCCTTTGGTTTATTTTCTATATTATTGTGTATTTCTGTTTTGCTCTGATGCATTTCCTGCATCAGTAATAAGTGATAATATACAAGGTAAACAAAGAACTTGGCCTCAAAAGTTTCTTTGTTCGTCCTTTTTTTCCTTCCAATGTTTTAGGAACATATTTCTACAAATAAGATATTTTTGTGTCACTATTTTTTTTGGTGAACTACTTTCTGGACTTTCTGGGCCTCCGTAGATGAAACTATGAAATAACAAAATCATTCAAATATTTATCTTATTGTCTAAAACAACAAAGTATTTGATGAGTTGTATCGTAGGGCTGTAACGGTGGACACACGACCAGCACCAGAACTGTTCTACTGATAAATCCATAAAAACGATCAGGTTTTGTCTTTGTGTGCCTGATTTTAACCACAAATATCAGGTAAATTATTGGTGATTCACGCTCAGTAAAGTGATCAGTTCTTGCATCGATCACCAGTATTGATCCTCGTTGATTTCAGGATCAGTTTTGATTTCCAGCAGACCGCGTTCCTTCCCTTTTACCGTAATAACGGATGAGATAATCACTCAGCTTTACGTCGTATTTTAGCTCCTCCCACCGCGGCGTGTCTCACCTGTGCAGCTTGTTTTCGGTCTTTAATGACTCTACAGGTGAAATACGACCGTTTGAGGAAACACAGCTGGAACACAGTCCTGCCTCCACGGATGTTACACGCTGTTTGTTATTCTCTGTCGCTGCTTTTCTAAACATTACGGTAGCCACGCCCCTACTTCCCTCTGCCCGATGATTGGCCAGCAGCTGTCACATGACCCGGCACAGCGGAAGAAGAGGCTCCGCCGCAGAGAGAAGGTGAGGAAATAAACAAAATGAAAACTAAAGAATTTCAACCAGTAAACCGTCACCGACGGTTTATTCTCCGGTACCGGCCGGTGAGGGAACCCCTTAGCTGCCTGAGCCGGGGTTCCGGTTCGGGTTGGACGGCTGGTTAGTGAGCAGGACGCGGTTTAAAGGTGTTCGGTCCGTGAGTCGGTGAGCGGCGCAGCCGTCAGAGCTGAACGTGAGGAAACATGGCGGAGTTCCGCTAACGGGCGACCACCAGCCGCTAACCTGGTTAGTTAACTAGTTCTAACCTGGTTAACGACGTGCTGCGTCATCGTTACGTCGCTCTCGCGCTGGTTTCGGCTCATTTTTCTCCTCTGAGGCCTCTGACGGGAATTTCCCATCGCCCGCCGTGACGTCATCACGCACCGAATGACGTTGAGCGACGTTTATTTATTGTTTTGATTTGTTTGGTTCGTTGTTTGTTATTTATTGTCTCGTTTATGGTTCAGTTTGTTGTTTTATTTACCAGCTGATCAGTGAAACACATCAGCTCGTTTTTAAATGTATTATTTATTGTTTATATTTACGGTTTTATTTATTTGTTGATTGATTGATTGATTGTTTTGTAACGGGGTGAGCAGGGGGCGGGGCTTCAGCAGATCAGCTGATCATCTGCTCTGTTGATTGCAGGTTATTGATCACTGATGAGGATCAGCTGCTGCAGGTTTACTCACCAAATATTGATTAATTGTTTGTTTATTGATCAGCTGTTCCTCGTTTATCAATTGGTTTCTGCAGCTCTATTGATTAGTTGGTTTCAGAGTATTGATCAGGTGTCGCTGCCGTACCGGACGGTCGTGTACGGTGTGTTGATCGGTTGGTGCAGATTTAT